GAAGAGCGTTAGCTGCCTTCTGTTGGAAATCAGGTGCTAAGCATACACACTGTGGTCCTCTCTTGGAGACCCGTTAATTTTGATACATTAGCCTTGGATGTGGATAATAAAAGGTTAATAGGTTCCATTCCTTCCGGGCCTAAAAAACATAATAGGTCCAAAGGTCTTTAAAGTTTGAAAATTCTTGGAAACTGACATAGAAAACTGGTTATGTCATGATCCAGTAGCCTGTATCATACCCCTCCACTTCTTTACTAGAGTCAGCCTTTCTTCTACTAAAGAGGTAATGTGCTCTTTTTAGAGAGGCCATGACATACCTTATTCTTACATTCCTCCTTGAGAAGCAGGACTGAACAGAAATCACGATCCATGAAAAAAATGAGCCCACAAGTTAAATGGTTGTATGCGTATGCAGAGTCAGGAGGTGAGGGTGACAGAGAACCCGGGACTCCTCTGTATTCTGCCTCTTCAGGGGACTCACATGGACTAATGTGGAACAGTTGCAAGCAATCACAGCCTCTGGTCTAGATAATGTTGTAACCCGTGCCGGCCACTGGAGGGGGCTCGAGCTTTCTTCCCAACAGCAGTCATCACCACAGTCAAGGTGGAAAGTTTGCTCAGGTCCCCAGGTGAGGCCACCAAAACACCAGCTTCATACTAAAATATTTTTGTCTTACCGAGACTCTCAGCCTCTGGGCAAGAGAGGAGATAATGATATTTATTGAGCCCCTCTTATTATGCCAGATGCTTCCATCCACATGGCCTTGATTAAAGTCTCTTAGTAGCCCTGGGAAGCAGTGATTTTCATTGCTGATTCTGTAGATCTACATATAAGAGACCCAACTAATTTAAATTGAGGAAGACTGACTCAAGTAGGATTTGAAGCAGGGCTATTAGCAGTGCGATCTCTCCAGCTTTATTTTTTCATATTTTTGAACGTGAAGCTGGTTTACTTGTTCTAGATTGACACATATTTTTGGAAGCAGTGCAGTTTAATGGAAACAGCCTGGGGCCCGAGAATGAAAACAAGAAAATAGGCTCTGGTTTCAGTTCTATTGGTAACTAGCTTCGTAGCAGCGAGTTCATTATAGACCTTCTCTGCATCTCGGTCCCTTCATGTATAAAATAAGACTGGTGTATCTGTTCTGCCTCTCAGAAACAAGTAAGTAAGGGGAAAGTAAGGGCTGGATAATCATTTTAAAGACCTTTACCATGATGAAGAATTGCTGTCAAGTATAAGGGGTATGTCTTTTGCTCGCTGTGCTTTGGGGATGAGCAGAGACAGCTGAGACTTACCTTTACCTCTTTACCCTTTCATGTCCCCTTCACTCAACACAGGACAGCTGCAAATGCTGACTTCTGTTTCCAACGTTTTTTGAAAGCCTGGGACTTTGGTCCAAGGCCTTCTGATATGCACCCTGATTCTATTCCCTCGCTAACTGGAAACTCAAAATCAACTCCCAGCTGCTCTCACTTTCTGAGACAGTCTGTTCTCAGAAATTCTGCCTATTTAATGTGTATATCTCTAAATAAACCTGCTTTCACTTAAAAAAAAAAAAAAGACAACTCCCATACATACGTATTTACTAAGTGTATAAAAACATGCACAGGAATGATAAAAATCAAACTTAAGATATTCCTTCTGGGGAAAAGGAGGCAGAAGAATGGGATCAGGGTGGGAAAAGGATACACAGGAGGCTTTAACTGAAATCCGAATATCTTATTTCTTAGAAAAAAAGTATCTGAAGCAAAAATGTCAAAATATTCAGGTTTTTTTTGTATATTTGAAGTATTTCATAATTTTTAAAATTTCATAGTTAAAAAAAAGGTACCAGCAATCTAAGTGGTCGATCATCCTGTAACCTCTCTCCTGTCCACCTCCTTGTCAAAGCTGAGCGACAAGTTCTCTTCCCATGAGGTTGTCACTGTGTCCTCCATCTGACCATCTTGCTAGGTTAAGATGCAAAATATCCACCCCACGTTGCAAGAGCATCTAAAGGCCCCAGAAAGGTCTTTGCTACCCTTTCCCCATACATGCCCTTCATTCTATGGCATCCATCATATGAGCACTGACCAGCCCCTGGCCAAACATCTGCCAGGCGGGCTTGGACTAGAGTCACGCCAATTTGAGTAAGTAGAATACGTAAGCATGATTGATCCAAAATTGTCTACAGTGCCTAGGATTGCCATACTGCAGACTCTGCTTTGCTATTGCTGGCTTCACCACCTTGCTAAATAAGACTTGCAGAGGCCCTCTGGTTGCCTGGATCATTCCCCTCTCAGTTTAGCAGTTGAAATCTTCAATTTTGCCCTAGATGTGAATAAATTGATGTGATCAAGCAGCCAGGTCTTTCCCAGGACCAAGTCTCCTTTTTCTTTAGCCATAGTCATTTCCTGGGTTTTGATTTGTGTGTTTCAAGTCTGATCACTGCTTTTCCTCTGCACTGAACAAGCTGTACCTTCAGTCCCATTTCTCTCTGCTCCGCTGTAGGCTCTACCACATCACGCTCTGGACCTTCCTCCTCGCCCTGGGGCACTTCCTCTCCGAGTTGTTTGTATATGGGACCGCAGCTCCCACCATTGGCGTCCTGGCACCCCTCATGGTGGCAAGTAAGCATCCAGTGACCCTAGAACTCCTGCAGGAGCTGTCCCAGCCCTAGGGACGAGCCTCATACAAGCAGTATAAGAAAATGCCGTGCTTATGTCAGCCACTAATCTTGTCTCTGTGTTAAGGTTTCTCAATCCTGGGAATGCTAGTGGGGCTCCGGTACCTAGAAGCAGAACCAGGATCCAGACAGAAGAAGAGAAACTGAGGCCAGCATCACCACGTCCGAGACTTCATCTTCCACCTTTGCCAGCCTCTTCCTTCACCCTCTTTGCTCTTAAATTTCTTTTCTGCTCCATCTTCCACTTCTAGTCCTTTCCTTTCTTTTTCTTTAATTTAAAATGTTTTAAGATATTTAAATATGCCTACGGCAAGTCGGTGCCATTTAAATGTATGTACCACTTAAAGAATCATTTTAAAATGAATACTCTGTACCTCCATCCAAATCAAGAAATCGCCAGCACATCCGAAGCCCACTGTGTGCCCTTCCCCCACCTGCAGCCTCTTCCAGGACCCCTTTTCCAGCCTTCTGCTTTTTTCCTTTTATTTTCACCCGACGATTTGACTTGTATGGTGGGAACACGTGACCTGTGAAACTTAAAGCTGCTGCCGCACCCACAGCAGCTGCCACCAAGGGCTGCTTCGAGGGGGTGTCAACCCAAGTTGGGCTCCTCTCTGCTGCTGGACCCAGGACTCTGAACCATCCAAGGGACAGGCAGCTCTTCTGAGAAGAAGGGCTCCCCTGCAAGTGAGCATGGCTCCTTACCCTTGTGCCTACAGGTGGATCAGGGTTGGAAGAGTCTGGGCTGTTTTTAGACCTTCCGGTCAGCTGTATTTGTGTAATGAGATTTGTAATAAATAGAAAAACCTTCTGCTCTGATCAGTCCTCGTACTTTGGCCTCCCCTAAGCCCAGAGCACTCCTGCCCCTCGTCTGAGGCCTAGCAGAGGAGAATCACAGCTTTCTGCTGATCAAATATACCATGAGTAGGACAACTCAAGACTCAGGCAAACCTGGCTGCCTTTTGTCTCTTGCTCATTTCTTGTGAAGTCAAATCTTCCTCCTCTCCACCCCCACCTTAAAGATTCTGAGTTGAATCTTTAAGGTGAACAGCTGAACAGCCAGGACCCTCTCTTGTTTTCTTCCCAAGGAAGAAACAGATTCTTGAGAAAGCAGAACCAGGCAGCATAGAAGAAACAGCTGTATGACCATGGAAAGAAGAACACTGGGGCCCAAGGACAAGGCACTGGAGCAGACTGCTGCCATCCAAACACAACCAAGTGTTTATTGAACACTTACTGCATGCCGGACACCTGGGAAAGACAGATGAACGACCCAGGCAATGTCCCTGTAGTCCAGGAGACAGACTGTCAACAAGCCCATACCTGAAAGAACAACTCCAGACAGTGATAAGAACTCTAGAAAACAAGGTACTGTGATCAGGAAGGGGAGGGAGGTGCACAACTTAGATCATCGGGAAAAGCCTCCCTGAGGAGTTGGGATCTGAGTTGAGACTTGAATCGCAGGGATCATATGTCTTAAGATGTGAGGCGGGCATTTAGGGCAGAGGGAGCAGCAGCTAGTCTTGTTGAAGGACTACAATCACTGTAACTACAGAATGGTGAGGTTAGCGATTGGAAGATAGGAGATGGAAGGGAGGCAGGGGGCTTGTGAGCGCCTGACAGGAGGCTTGAAGTTGATCCTTCAGTTGGGAATTCTCAGTCAGTTAAGGCTCTGCAGGTGAAAATCTTCCCTAACCTACAGCTGAACTAATAACGGTAACATTGGCTCACAAAACTGAAAGGATTATAGGCTTCAGGAATGGCTTGATCAGGACTGAGCTCTATTTCCCTGGGATTCTTTTGGCTCTACCCTCCTACATTGGCTTCATCGACAGGCTGGCTTCCTTTATGATGATTATGGTGCCAAAAGTGGTTGTTACGATTCCAGGCCTCACGTCCCCACCTGGAAAAATAGCTCAGTGGTATGAACCATCTTTCCCTTACCAGCTATTGTAGGAGGCAGTAAGAAAAGGAATGATCTTACAGAGCGTTACCATGAGTGGAGGTCCACAGGGAGCCCACCTAAGAAAGGAATGAATGAAAGCATAAGAGGATGTGGATCCTCTAGGCATGCACCACAGAAACATGATTCCAGATAAATAAAGACAACATCCCGAAGGATCTAAAGACATGATACAGAGTATTGGCAGACACTATGGGTGTAAGATTTCTCTAACAGCCCAGACTTGGCTCCCTTCCCAGGTGGTTTAAAGTGGAATCATAGTGTTGTCTCTCCACCTAAGAACTGCTAGCGGATACGGAGCCAGAATGCCACAGACACAGTGCAACTCTCTAAAGAAGAAATGTCCAGGAAACTGATCGTTGCAGCCCACTCACGTAACACACATAAGGTAAATGCAATCGCAAAGGGAAGGCTGGCAGGAAGGGGGACGATTCAGAAGAACTGCAAATGACAAAACTGGATTCCGGCCAGCGCGACCTGGTGAGTCACTGCTCTGATTATAGAACAAACATTCCAGCCACCCTTTGAGGCAGAGCCAGAAACCACAGTGGGTTCTCTGGGCAGCAGGCACACTCAGGTGAACTGTCTTCGTGTGGATGCTGTAGGGAAAGCAGTCCCAGTCACATGTCAGATGTTGAGTTGCAGTCCCCCACAAAGGCCAGCTGTCACCCCCGCAGCCTCATCTTTTAAAAGTCACCCACTAGGATGGCAGTATCTGTGTCAGCAGAAGACCACCTTCCAGGGTACGGAGGCCACAGGAGCACCTCCTCTACCCCGAGCCCCCACCCCTCCTGACCGCTTCCGCCACCAAAGCCATCTCTGCCCCAGTAAATGACAAGGAAGACCACATGGAGAATCTTTTATTGCCTTAAAACACCTGACATTAACAAGTAGAAAATACTAATTATGTTTTTTAAATAAATCAATGGTTTCAGTAAACATTTTGTTGATACATTTTAAGGGACTGAAGAGTAAACACTTTCTCCTTAATCAAAAAGTAAGGCGCCATCACTCTCCACCTCCCCTCCACCGCTATCTCAGTCCTCCCACCAGAAGTGTGAACTTCTTTTATTATGTACAGAATATCTGTACACACACACACACACACACACACCTGGCTCCCCTTGGGCAGTGGCTCAAGCACCCCAGCACCGCTGCCACACAGGCTGCTCCAATATGCTGAGGCCGGGGCAGCATAGGGGTCATGATCACGGAGCTCAACGCACAGGAGAAATGACCAAAGCGTCTTATTTTTGGAAATACTACCCAAGCCCATGAGTAGAGCCAGACAGCAGGCAAAGCAGGAGAGGTCAGCTAGGGCTGGTTGAAGGGGAATCTTTAAATTCAGAACATCTGAGAAAAAATTATTGCTATTAAAGAAGGGGGTGAGGGGAGAGGTGGGGATGCAAATACTGTCCCCATCAGAGATGGAATGCACTTATCTAACCCAGCAGACCTGAGTCCCGTTCCGTGGCCACCTTCTGCCCCTTTCATCTCTCAGAAGCGTTTTGGAGTTCGCAGGGGGAAAGGTATCCGGGTTGGTTTTCACTAAAAGGTACAGGCAGTTAGTTGGCTGGGCTTGCCCTCCCTCTGGAGAACACGTGGGCAGCGTCCAGATGACAGCAGCAGAGGTGACAGTGACACACACACAAGGCCCTAGGCCAGGACATCTTTTGTAGCAAAGAACCTTTCCATTCCCAAAATCGTTTAGGGGCCAGAGTCCCCAAATTCGTAAGCACCCTCACATCCCGAGAAGGTCAACTCTCTGAAATCGGCTTCTCCTTCAGCCACAGCAAAGTTTTTGTCAAGTTTACTGATGTTTGGTTTGATCAGCTCTTGGGAAAGAGGGTTTGGAGACAGACGCCAACACGAGCCGGGAGAACCTGGTCCCAGAGTCCTGAGGGTTTTGTCCTGATGGTGTTTTCTCTCCCACAGAACGTTAGCGGTCAGTCTGGTGGCCCAAGAATGACCCTCGTCCAGAGCAGCTGCTGCTCCTTAGAATTGGGCTCCTAAGGGTCTGAAGACACTAGGGAAAGTTAACCTCCGGAATAAGCTTTCTTTCCGTGATGATTTGCAGGCTCTCTCCCGAGGGATGGGGTGGAGGGAAGGCAAGGCAGCCGGCCAGGACCGACTCCAGGATTCCCTCTGCCCCGCCCACCTTCTTTCCGTGATGATTTGCAGGCTCTCTCCCGAGGGATGGGGTGGAGGGAAGGCAAGGCAGCCGGCCAGGACCGACTCCAGGATTCCCTCTGCCCCCGCCCACCAGCTCCCAGACCTACGTGGGGGAGGGGCGGGGGAGGGGCGGGGAGCCGATCGGCACGTGGTGAAAACTGCAGTCTCCCCCAGGCAGACGACACCAGCTCTGCGGTGGGTACCAGGCGGAGGCACTGCCGTCCAAGCCACAGCTATGCCCCCTGGTTCCCTCCAAAAGCTGCTCCGGTGAAGCCCGCGGTGCTGGGAGGGGGAGCTGTGCGGGCTGAAGAGGTGGGCGTGGTCCGTGTTCCCTGAGTCTCACCACCTTTCTCTCTCAGAGGTGCTCCTCCAATACACTAGTGGGGGCTTTGCTGGTTTTGCTCTCGTCCTCCCCCGGGGGATTCTACAAGGCAAACAAGTGGGCAGCCCTTGGGGTGAAGAGGCAGGGACTCCATCCCGACCGGAGCATCTGCCTGCCAGGGAGTCTGTAATCCGCGGGGAAAGCCAGAGTCCCAGGCACTCAGCACCCCTGACAGCGAACAAAGGGAACAGCAACAGAAGCTCCAGCCCGGCCACAAGTGTGCTCCTCAGACACACACACCATCATGACAGAATCAAAGGAAGCACAAGAAGGCAGCTTCCTGTGACACTGCAGCCACCACGGGCCACCTCACTGCAAGTGCCACTGAGTTCTCCTCACCCTTCTCCCCCTTCTGACAGCCTCAGCCCACCTGGACGGACCCCCAGGCGGGTGTGTGAAGGGACAGGTCTGCACCTCCCTCAGGACTGCTGACCACCCCCGGTCGGGGGCAGCCCCAGGATGAGGAATACTGTTACCATGTGGGTGGAACAGCTGCAGCAGAGAACTGTTACAAAGGCAGGATGCTTAATGGCATATGTCAGCTGAAAATAATGTATATATAATTTCCGCATAGAAAGAGACTTTGGGTCAGTTTGTCTTCAGTTTTCTTGGGGGCGGATGGCACAGGATTAGAAGACCTTCTGGGTCACACTTGTTAGCTGGGTGGGATTTATATATGGAGATTATTCTGTGAGGCCCCTAGGTGCCAGCGGCCAACCTGGGCATTTGTCTGCCATTTTAGGAACACTTTGCTTCTTCCATCAGGAGCTCATCCAGTTCCCAACAAGGCCTCGTGCGCAGGCCCCGCCCCACACAGCCCCCACCATCGAGGCTGGAGGAGCACGTCCAGGACACGTCAGCTGGACAAATGGCGCTCCCTCTCTAAAGACACTCTCAGGGCAACCTGTGGCAGAGATAACAGCGGCAGATCCAGCTTCCTGTTCTCCATCTTGCTAACGTTTTGGCACCAGCTCGGCCTCAGCCCTGAGAAGCCCTCACTCAGGCAGCCAGCAGCCGACTTCAGCCACTCAGGCTGTCTCCTCTCTCTGACACACTCATGCACACACTCCCGCCTCTTCCAGAGCCATCACCTTGAAATCACAATCAAACAGGGCTTAGTGCCTCTGTGGCCAAGAACTTCTAACTGGAAGAAGACTGGAAACCCAAATGCAGACTTGTTGCCATGAAGGTCAGTCATGACCCCCCAGCAAGAAGTTCCGGCTCTTTCTACCAAAATGACACACTTCACTGATTAGAAAGAGCAGCTCTGAAAGAGAAAAACAAATACCATATGCTAACACATATATGTGGAACCTAAAAAAAAAAAAAACAACCTAGGGGCAGGACAGGAATAAAGACACAGAAGTAGAGAATGGACTTGAGAACACGGGGAGGGGGAAGGATAAGCTGTGTCAAAGTGAGAGAGAGGCATGGACATATATACACTATCAAATGTAAAATAGATAGCTAGTGGGAAGCAGCCGCATAGCACAGGGATATCCGCTAGGTGCTTTGTGACCACCTGGAGGGGTGGGATAGGGAGGGTGGGAGGGAGGGAGACGCAAGAGGGAAGAGATAAGGGGACATATGTATACGTATAACGGATTCACTTTGTTATAAAGCAGAAACTAGCACACCATTGTAAAGCAATTATACTCCAATAAAGATGTTAAAACAAAAAAAAAGAAAGAGCGGCTCTGGCCAGATGCGCTGCCTGCCCTGCGTTCACCTGGAGCTGAGAGTGAATCCCTGTGACAGTTCGCAGGTCCCACTTACACCCACCACCTCGGGGTGTCAAATGACAGCCGTTGCAGGGATGCCCTCTGACAGCCCTGGCTTCCATGGGCATTAGCCCCCCCCTCTGGAGCCCCCCCCCATCCCACCAGGCTCCCCCAGATGCAAGGGAGGTGCGGAGACACACAGTGAGTATCCAGGACACCGAAAACTGAGCACCAGCACTGGACTGGCCTCCTGGTTCTACTCGGTGCTATTTCCCACAGTCCATTCGGACGAGCCAACACCTCCATCCTGGATTAACAAACCTGGTCCTAGTGGACAAGGATCTGGCTGCAAAATAGTGAAATATGGGAACAACCTAAATAGCAAACAAGAGGAAATGGAAATGTATATACGTAGATGTGGGGTTTTGGGGGTGCAATGGTGTAGAAAGGTTGCCAAGCTCTAGTAAGGAAACAATCAGGGTAGAAAACCTAATGTGCACAAGCATATTCATAGAAAATACACTGCGAAATGACAAAATGTTACTAGGGTATCTCTGGGTGCTAGGACTATAGGTGACCTTTACTTTCTTCTGTTTGCCTTTATCTGCCCAGGGAAATACAGATTATAAAGTAAACGTAGCAAAATCACATATCACTTGACACAAGCCGTCATGTTCCAAATTGAAACCTTTTCACGAGAAACCTATCCTGTTATCACGGGCACCTTTTCCCAGGCTCAGGATATATTCGCCAAAGTGTCCCAAATCACATGTTTCCTCATCCACGGCACAGGGGCAAACCCATCTCCACAGTGGTGATGCCACAGTTCTCACAGGCTCCTTAGAATAACACTCCTGTCTCAGGCTTTCCCTGTGTCCCCACTGAATGTCCAGTCCCAGCCGCCTCCCTCCACCTGCTCCCTGCTGCTACCTGCCAACCCCAGAGTGTGAGATCAGAGGACAAAACAGTAAGGAACTAAAGATTAGCATCCATCTGCCAACACGTATTCTTAAAGCGCTAAATGTACGTCTTTCAGATGATATTTTTGCCTTAGAAAATTGGCAAAGATTTAAAAAAATGATAAATACTCAGTGTTGGCCTCATACACTGCGAGAGCAGTGAGCATTGGTAGCATTGACAGTACCTTTCTAGAGGACAGTCTGGCAATACACATCAAAGCTTAAAAATGGGCATGACCACTGATCCATTTCTCGGGGAAATACTGTGCTTAAGAACGTGTCCAGAGATTCAGCTCCAGGACATTAATCACAGTATCATTTATAACAACAGTAAGAAACAACCGTAGTGTTCCCGGACAGGAAAACTGTTAAACAAATCATGTTTATCCATGTGCGGTCATTAGAACACTGTGCAGTCATTAAAAGTATGTTGTAAGAGACTAATGACCTGATAAAGCACTCACAACAGGTAAAAAGGCACATAGAACAAGATAGACATAAAAACAAGGTTTTTTAAACCTTTGTTTAAAAAATACATACATAGGGCTTCCCTGGTGGTGCAGTGGTTGAGAGTCCGCCTGCCGATGCAGGGGACACGGGTTCGTGCCCCAGTCCGGGAAGATCCCACGTGCCGCGGAGCGGCTGGGCCCGTGAGCCTGCGTGTCCGGAGCCTGTGCTCCGCAACAGGAGAGGCCACAACAGTGAGAGGCCCGCGTATCGCAAAACAAACAAACAAACATACATACATATGTATAGATCATATGTGGACACAGACATGCATAAGAAAATGTAGAAAAACAGCATCTCATCTCTAGCTGATGCTATTACAGGATGACTTTTAAATTTTGTACACCTTTCTGTATGTTTTTACAGAATATGTATTACCTCTGTAATAAGTTTTGGGTGTTTTGTTCTGTTTTTGAAGAAAACCCTACTACGCTCTTAGAGCTGAAATTCCTTTCATCCTGGCTCAGATCTGACACTTAACACTTTGGTTAAAATACTTCCCAGCCAATTAGAGCTATGGGAAACACTTTTCTGTTCTAGATCAAACGCCTGGTCCTCTCTCCTTCCATGACCATCAACTCCTGCTTCCTGACTTGTCCTTTTAGAGCCCTGATGGCAACCCATTGGCCCCGGTCCCTCTATCCCCATGGCACTGCCTGGGGGGCTGTCACATGCCCAGAGGGCCACTGTCTCGAGGCCACCACCACCATGACCGAATGGGGGGGCCCCAGGTGGTTACCTTTCCTCTCCAGTCACCAACCCCAGGCTGAAAGGAGAGGACCCAGGGCCTGCGGACGTGCCTCAGGATCCGGTGGCAGTGTGGGGCGGGGTGGGGGGGGGGGCTGCTGCTCAGCAGACTGTGACACAGTGAGAAGCTCCGGGCACCAGAGCAGGGAGGCCAGGAGAAGGGAAGGAAGCAGCAGAAGAGCCCAGACAGGGAAGCAGAAAAGCAGGGCTGAGGCAGCTCCCAAGGAAACTCTTTGTCTCCACGTGCGTGATGCTGAGTTGCTCTCACACCCACCCGTCACTCTGGGAGCACCCCCCACCCCTGCTGCTGCAGCCTCAGCAAAGCCGGGACCCGGATCTCAGCCCAGCAGCTCCCCACATACTCACATTCTCAGGAGTTTCTTTGTTTGCATTCTGCCTCCGGAGATCTGCCCGAATGAATGCTGAGGTCCAGGATTGCAGAAGGAAGGGCAAAAGAGGCAGTTATCAAGCAGAGCAATGGTCACATTCATCCACGAGAGGGAGCCCTCACTCTCCTAAGGGCCACATGTATGCCACCTCCTTCAGATATTCCAGGGATCTGGAGGTTCAGTCAGCCTTGATAAGCCTGGGGACCACTGCTGTCCCTGACAGGCAGAAGCCAGTGATGACACTGCCCTTCATTTATAGATCCCTGATATTTGCAGGGAGTTTGCACACATTGCTCCAATCCTCACAACAATCCCCATTCTACAGATTAGGAAAGTGGGGCTCCCAGAAGTGGGTCCACTTGCCCAAGGTCAAACAGCTATGGAGGTCGGTGTCACAGTCTAGGATTCAAACAAGGGTCTTTTGGGGCCAAAACCCAAGCTCACTCCAACAAAATATGCTAATGCCTCCCCAAAGACTTCCTAACAAGCCCTCTCGTCTGCCCCGCCGCACAGGACTGCCCAACTGTA